TATCGAAATAACTCAAAATCAGTTGGTCAATAACTTAGTTGATATGAGCGCAAAATCATGGATTTTCAAATGAATGACAGGTTGGAAATTTAAGAAACCATTGCGTCTTAAGTGCAGTCAACGCTGATGATGAGACTGACTGATGCTCACGCTGAGGTTGATGCTTAGGCTTAGGCTAAAGTTCTTAGGATTAACCAGAGGTTAATATTTAATCTGAGGTTCATCCTGGGGCCACAGCTGAACCTTAGGCTAGGCTAAGTCTGAAGAGGAATCCTGTGTCGCAGTAAATTTCATAACTTTGTTGACCACAGAACATTATGTTACAATGAGATTTCTTTCTCGGTTATATAAATAAAGTACCTTAAAAGAAAACTGAAAATTTTCGTCTGGAAAATGATTGTAGTCACCGCAACTTTCTGCAAAAATTAAATTCAGTGAGAATGTTCCATCATTTCATTGAATATCTTTATCAGTTGAATCAGTAGTAATTTCCACGTTTAATCATTAGAGCCACTTTGACTCCGACTTTCACTTCATTTTAAAGATCTTTCAGAGAGAACCTTTTCCCAGCATATAGTAATCCTGTAGTTAGCAACGACGGTCGTAGGAAAGCCTAATCGATGCTGAACAATTGAGTCATGGTAGTTGGCTAACCCAAAAGTTTTCATGATGATGTTCGGCATTCCCCGAAATTTGAATACATTCGTACACAAAGCATGAGAAAGTTTTTTTTTCTGTATCTCAGTTATGGAAATGAATATCGCATTCTATATCGAATATTCTATTGTATAAAAGGTTTTTAGATGATATATACAAAGGGACTTATTATCTTACCTTGAGAAGAAACGAACGAGATTGTGAGTCGGTAGTGAGGTACGCATCGATGAACGATAATAATAACAAGAATAGGTACAGAAATAATAATAAATGTAATAGTGATGATAATATCTTGAATGACCGTAGTAATACTCAAAAAAGTGATTTTGCGGAACGATCCCACGCAATGCGTGAGCTTCAGCTGCCTGAGTATCAACTGTAGAAGACGACTAATTTGGTCGTTCAAGGCACAATTGCTATTGTTATAATTGTTATCCTTATCTCTAATTCTATTCATACCACTAGTGTCATCGTGTTAATAGCAAAAACATGCCACCAAAATTTGAATGTCTATCCCACGTTGTACACCTTCGTTGAAATACTGCTGCAGAAAACATCGATGTAATTTTTGTTGAAATTGGTTTAAAGTTTAAACTTTAAATCAAAATTTAAAGAGTCGATCGCGCTTATAAGTCCAAGATGAGGCTGACTTATATGACCTAATTTTTGTCTAAATGACGAGTTCTTGCTTCAAAGAAATCCGTTAATTACTCATTATTTGAAAGTCTCGACTCGTTCTGACCTAGTAAAGTAGTAATCATAAAAGGAAACAATGTTAAAAATGGAATAATGAGAAGTGAACGCAAACAAATTGATATTTATTATTTAATATAAATAATCAATACCAATCATTTAAGCAGATAATTTGTTTCTAACTCAATATCTCAATTCAAACAAATTTGCACTTCACAGTTGGTGATCTCCATACCAAGTCAATGGTTGCTTCTTCAAACACAACATCATGTGAGAAGCTACCAATGACAATGACAACAATAACATGTCGACTAGATTCACAGCAGCACGACGACAATGAAATTAGATGAGAAGATTATCAGCCATACAAACAAACAAACAATGATATAGATCGAGTGGCGAATGGAACAGCACGGGCACCAACTCGCATCACATTACCTGCACACTTTCGCGGGTATGTATTCCCTTCGGTTCGGGCTTGCACTCGACGAATTGTGTCATTCAGTGATCCACACCACTGATCAATCTTTCTGCTCTTCGCATCATCACAGCGAAACTTTTCCGAACAAAAAAACCAAACACCGACCAGCCGAAAGAAGTGTTTTAAAAAACCGAAAAACCAATAAATAATCACACTGTAGAAAGTGCAAATGCAACCAACCATTCGTATTTCACAATAACCATAAACGAGGATCAAATTTAGAAGTTAGCGACTAATATCGAATTTATATGAGAAAGCGTTTGCTATGTACCGATATTTAAAAATAAATTTCATTTCACAATAATAACACGCATAATAATAAGAATAATATTACAATTAGGTTCAACCACTTAGTAGCCATCTCATCCAGCAAGCAAAGATTAACTGATTCAATTTAGAACATCAATAATAAATTATCGAATGTGGATGGGTTAGTAGATACACAGATAGGTGAACAATGTACGACAGATCAATTAATTAACAAGCAAAAGTGAAGAAAGCAAGTCAAATCATTCGATTACAATGACCGTCAAACGATCGCACAAACTGTTCACCAAGGAGTGCTATTGCAGGAGTGCAAACGCGGACAGTTCAACAACAACTATAAGATGAAGAATGTTGTTGTTTGTTCGATAAACTAATCAACATCGCATCCTTTCTATACAATTCATACCAGTCCATTAATCCATCCATCAGTTGCACTTTTCGATCACGAAGTCACGTTCAGCAGAGTCATTTTTCATTGAAATGAACTTTGTTGTTGCTGATTATTACCAGAATCATTACCATTATGACCGGCATTAACATTCATTCCAATTCTGCTATCATTATTGTTGACGACTGCTCCACAAGTAATCAAACTGAAGAAGATGGTCGAACGGATCTCTGAGTTACTGGTATTTTGCTGATACAAACTGGTCGTGTTTTGAAGCGTGGCAATGGGTGTTTCATGACAAAGATCCACTTGGTTCACTAATGCCGCCATGGTCTCTTCATCCAGCTTCCGTCGAAACACCTCAAATACCTTTTATCTGTGTTACAACACACACCTTGGACCACCCAAGAATAAATCTTATGAATATATCAATTTGAATGCAACATAAATTGGTTGCTTCTTCTCGATGTTGATATTCTACGATTAGTGATGTTACCATTCCACGTTTTTGATAACTGTTCTACTCTGTTCCATTCCTATCTAAAAACGACTCTATTCTGTTCCGTCCTGTGCGTCCCTAGTTTGAGACCTGTTCTATTATATCCTGTTCTACCTCCTATACTGTTCTGAACTATTCTATTCTGTTCCGTTAGTCAGAAAAGTGACACGATAAAACCTGTGGTAATTAGGGTTGGAATCGTGTTTTGG